TTCTTGGTACAAGAAATTGAGAACCATACTACATTCAAAATGTTGCTGAAGATAGAAGAAACTGCAGTAGCTAAACTCAAATGTGATCTTAAGAAAAAATCATAATTCTAACACAAAATAAACCAAAACAGAATCATGCATTCCATTTTTTTCAATCAAGAAATCTGTTGTTTGGAATTTTGCATTTTACAAGTTACAGATCATTTGAGAATCCACGATGCATGGTCAAAGGTTCAAAGGTTCAATAGCAATCTTGAATAGAAGAATGTGGACCTTATCCATTGAGAAATACAAAAACCCTCAGAGAGAATGGGTAACATATGAGCCGAAGCTAGTTCCCACAATGCAATGCCAAGCTGGACCATAAGTTGAGTCGAACTCCGGGAAAGGTAAATAGAAGTTTGTCGTAAGCAGTTGATTTATCGTAACTCGAGCACAAAAGCATGTTCCCCAAAACTAGGGAGAAAAGGCACCGATGCAAAACAAAGAGACAACAACGAGGAATAGAAATTTGTAGCTGATACCTTATTAAGCCATCATTTGGCATATTTTTAAATGTCACTTGTAAGTCAAATTTCATTTTCAACAACACATTCCAATTAAACTACAAGTAATATCCATTTATTCACTACTCATTTCTATAATTTATAAATTCTTTCCAAATAGACTAATATTTTTTGCTTTAAGTTGAGCGTAGGATTTAGGAACGATTACATTAGAAGAACATATCATATTTGACATCAACTGCATTTTGACAAGGAATACTACTCATATGGACTTACATCCTTTTTGTTTACAGTAAGTCACAATTTTCTAAAGTATACTATTGACCCGAAAAAACGTAATGCAAATGTGGAAAACAGATGCTGGGCCTACTTACGCCAATTCAAGCAAGTTCCTGCGCGTTTTGACTGGAGTATCGATGAAAGTGGGATAACACGTAAACATGGAAAATACTTTATAGCGCGAGACAAAATTATTCGAGCATCGGTATTGGTGACTAGGATGATTGCGCTAACAAGCAATCATCAACAAAGTGTAAATAACTTAAGATCAAACTAACAAATATAGAACAAGCCGAAAGTTTTCTTGAGAGTATTCCTCTTGAGTGTTTTCTCGTGTGTTCAAATTGATATTCAAAGGGCTATCAAAGATCCAAGAAAAAAGTCCCAAAAATCCCCCTTTCCATTTTCAAAGATCACCTATTTATAGTGTTTTGACTGACGTGATGTCTGGTTGATCAGAACCACGTGGCCTCATTTCGTAGACTGAAGCTTTATATTACTAAGTCTACCATGCAATAAAACATTGACAATGGATCAACCGCCCTATACATTAGAGTGTCATACCTGACATTCTTTAGTACAAACGTTACATCAATCATTCCTAAAGATTGTCTACAGATCTTATAAGAGACAACTTCAACTTCAGGGACTTCGGATGAACTAAGAGTTTCTGCCAGAGGGAGCTTCGTATTGGTGGTCTTCAGCGTGAAGAGTTTTGGCTTCTTCATTGATTTCTTATGTAGCACTTTGGGTAGTACTTCAGCACATGAGATTCAGTCTTTGTTTGACTTCTTTGCATTTGACCAATTGAGTCTTTATTGACTTTCCTTTCCTACGTGGACTGTGACGTGGCACTTTGACTGGAGCCTCGGGGCGAGGCATAACACATACCATGGTAAACCGACAAAAAATCGCCCTTAAGGAGTCAACTTGACCACAACGAAAGGCACACACACAAAACCCAACTTAATTGTCTACGATATAATTGAGATGTTAAAGCAAAATTAGAATATTGTTATTCATCATTAGTAGAGATCATCATTGATCTAGGTAGCAATAAGCCCCTTCATTCATTGTCCAATGCATTAAAATGCACCACTGTCGAGAGATATGCAAACAAATAAACACACAATAGAATAATTCTTCTCCCAAAAGTAAATAAGTAAAACGACTTTCTTGACAATTCTATATGCTGAAAATATTCTAAAAAAAATCAATTACACCAAACCACAAGAACACATACAATTATTTTACGTAGAAAAACTTCCTCGACTTGAGGAATAAAAATCATGGGACCCATTCCAGTTAAAACTTCCACTATCAATCAAAAAATGGGTACACAAAATATTCTCTAATCATAAACTAAAGGCTACAACTTATATTTATTGAAGATAACAAAGATCTTGGCAAAACATTATGAAATATGAAAAATATACCAACACATTCGGTTACTGTTAACGTACATTAACTAATGTTCTTGAATTCAAAATCCGATCTCCACCAATCAAATTGTAGTTCTATGTCTTATGAACCTATCCTCCAAATTTCAACTAGATCGGACCACAAATGAGTCAAGATCAGAGCTTTGATGAAATCTTGGCACATGAAAAAAACTGTTTTCCCTTCTTCTCAGGTTGGACTCCTATTTTCTCTAATTTTCTTGTATATATATTCATCATTAGGGTTAACAACCTAATGAGCTTTGGGCTACTATATAAAATCCCAAATA